GGGTGGGTCATAAATATCAAAGATAAGTAAAGAAAGGGAAGCTTTGCGAAAACGAATTGTACAAGCCGAAAGCCAAACTCCTACAGTACTCCTCATGCATGACATTGTGATGGACTAGTTGACTACAAAACAAGTTGTTTCACACGACGTACGTTTCGCCGTATGGTTCGTGACGGCTCATCAGGTGTGCAATTTGAAACTCGGATGTTGAGCCATAAATAAATGTAAAAGGGAAAAGGACATATGGATACGAGTTTAGAGTAACTCTCCATCACTGTAACATGATACTATATACAGTCAGAAAGTGCAATAACTAGGCACAAAACTGACAGAGTAGTGAGACATTCGACGTCCTGACACCTAACTTTAACACATCTCCGTAGCGCTAACCGACAGCCTTCCAACTTGGAAGGTTCAAGGTTATGGAAAGACCAAAGAGGGGAAGGCAAGCGCAACGAAAACGAGCAAAAGCCACAGTCCCAACGGAACAAAGAATGTCGATTGTTACTGGACGATGACGAGACCAGTACGATATTTGACAAAGCGGTCTAACTACAATTCGAAGCAGCAAAGCAGCACACCACCCAACTTGGGTGGGTCATAAATATCAAAGATAAGTAAAGAAAGGGAAGCTTTGCGAAAACGAATTGTACAAGCCGAAAGCCAAACTCCTACAGTACTCCTCATGCATGACATTGTGATGGACTAGTTGACTACAAAACAAGTTGTTTCACACGACGTACGTTTCGCCGTATGGTTCGTGACGGCTCATCAGGTGTGCAATTTGAAACTCGGATGTTGAGCCATAAATAAATGTAAAAGAGAAAAGGACATATGGATACGAGTTTAGAGTAACTCTCCATCACTGTAACATGATACTATATACAGTCAGAAAGTGCAATAACTAGGCACAAAACTGACAGAGTACTGAGACATTCGACGTCCTGACACCTAACTTTAACACATCTCCGTAGCGCTAACCGACAGCCTTCCAACTTGGAAGGTTCAAGGTTATGGAAAGACCAAAGAGGGGAAGGCAAGCGCAACGAAAACGAGCAAAAGCCACAGTCCCAACGGAACAAAGAATGTCGATTGTTACTGGACGATGACGAGACCAGTACGATATTTGACAAAGCGGTCTAACTACAATTCGAAGCAGCAAAGCAGCACACCACCCAACTTGGGTGGGTCATAAATATCAAAGATAAGTAAAGAAAGGGAAGCTTTGCGAAAACGAATTGTACAAGCCGAAAGCCAAACTCCTACAGTACTCCTCATGCATGACATTGTGATGGACTAGTTGACTACAAAACAAGTTGTTTCACACGACGTACGTTTCGCCGTATGGTTCGTGACGGCTCATCAGGTGTGCAATTTGAAACTCGGATGTTGAGCCATAAATAAATGTAAAAGAGAAAAGGACATATGGATACGAGTTTAGAGTAACTCTCCATCACTGTAACATGATACTATATACAGTCAGAAAGTGCAATAACTAGGCACAAAAGAGAAAGTGCAATAACTAGGCACAAAACTGACAGAGTACTGAGACATTCGACGTCCTGACACCTAACTTTAACACATCTCCGTAGCGCTAACCGACAGCCTTCCAACTTGGACCAAAGAGGGGAAGATGTGTTAAAGTTAGGTGTCAGGACGTCGAATGTCTCAGTACTCTGTCAGTTTTGTGCCTAGTTATTGCACTTTCTGACTGTATATAGTATCATGTTACAGTGATGGAGAGTTACTCTAAACTCGTATCCATATGTCCTTTTCTCTTTTACATTTATTTATGGCTCAACATCCGAGTTTCAAATTATTATTATTATTATTATTATTACGAAGTAGTGGTTGCGACTTCGGCGAGGATTTGTTAGAAAAGGGTTTGCTCCCCACACCGGAGCTCGCGCTATTCCGCCGACTTTACTTGACATTTGACTGACTCACGACTGCCATCCAGAGCACACGAGAAGTCCATCGAACCTTCGACTCGGCAAACCTGCAAGAAAGCACCACTCCCTGCTCAATACACAGTGTTTCGGGGAATTCACCCCTCATCAGTTGAGCTTGAGTAGGCTGAGGAAGATTGTGCCTGAAGAGCACCACTTATATAGTGCTCTCCAGGCACAAACATCACCAGGGATACAAACTTACAGAGACGCTCCGTATCCAGCGCGACAAACACCTCGTGAACACCAGAATTCCCCGAATTCCCCGAAACACTGTGTATTGAGCAGGGAGTGGTGCTTTCTTGCAGGTTTGCCGAGTCGAAGGTTCGATGGACTTCTCGTGTGCTCTGGATGGCAGTCGTGAGTCAGTCCAATGTCAAGTAAAGTCGGCGGAATAGCGCGAGCTCCGGTGTGGGGAGCAAACCCTTTTCTAATTATTATTATTATTATTATTATTATTATTATTATTTCTCTTTCCCTCAAAACCAGTTAATATTATTATTATTATTATTATTATTATTATTATTATTATTATTATTATTAATGCAATGAATATAACTAAATGCGTACTCATATCACAACCAAGGGGACGAATCATGTACATGTATTCCAGAACGTTTTCTTGTCACAATTATCAATGGAATTCGTGACTAAAGAGAATGATGAAACTACAATAGGATTTATACACTTATACACTTGGTTGTGATATGAGTACGCATTTAGTTATATTCATTGCATTATTAAGATTATTGTCTCCACGTCGCCTCATTATTATTATTATTATTATTATTATTATTACCGTGTATTGAGCAGGGAGTGGTGCTTTCTTGCAGGTTTGCCGAGTGGAAGGTGCGACGTGCTCCTCGTGTGCTCCGGATGGCAGTCGTGAGTCAGTCAAGTGTCAAGTTCGGCAAGAAGCGTGTGTTCCTAGTTGGAACAATCAACTTCATGACTATTACCGCCGAAGTCGCAACTTCTAAGTTCGTATTGTTGTCCCTCACGCGGACGTGCGACTAGTTGTTGGAGGTGACAGCGTTGCGAATAGCTATACTGGCTCTCAACGTCTGTTTATCACAACTCCATGAGCGACTCTGACTCACGCTGCTACCTGGAGCTTCACGAGTTGTTTGTCGCGCTGGAAACAAAGCGTCTCTGTAAGTTTGTATCCCTGGTGATGGTTTGGCCTGGAGAGCAGTATATAAGTGGTGCTTTTCAGGCACAATCTTCCTCAGCCTACTCAAGCTCAACTGATGAGGGGTGAATTCCCCAAAACACCGTGTATTGAGCAGGGAGTGGTGCTTTCTTGCAGGTTTGCCGAGTGGAAGGTGCGACGTGCTCCTCGTGTGCTCCGGATGGCAGTCGTGAGTCAGTCAAGTGTCAAGTTCGGCAAGAAGCGTGTGTTCCTAGTTGGAACAATCAACTTCATGAATATTATTATTATTATTTAAAGAGTCGGCGTGGAGAAAGCAATTTTATTAGTGCAATTAGGAGTATAACAAATTCAGACATGGCCAGACAAGAACGAGTTCATGGAATTTTTAAGGATTTTTATGTTATTCAAAATCGATTTTCGTGTTCCGCTCATCAGTGAATAGTATCGGAACTGAGGGTACTTTGTACAAAAAATAGAACATTTTATAACAGCATAATTTAAAGTGTGAACAAAAAAGGAAGTGCTACAGCATTACATGATAGGTGTCAAACATAGTGCTAACATAATATAACTGAGTGCAGGCACAAAGCATGAGGTGATACAGTGCAACATGACACAACATTTACATCTGATAACCAGCTACGAGAACAACTTTAGCGCGACTACATGCTTCTTTTGTTTACAAAGAACAGGATTATGCACACGAATACATACAGCTTCCAGAACCTTCAACTGCTTAACATAACTTGCACGGCACAAAACAGAAAAGTGAGAATCATCGTACACACTAAGACAATCTGGACGTGATAACAAGTGACAAAATACAGCTGACTTTTGCTCACGTCGCTCTCTTCCGTCTCATCCCGCTCCTTTCCTTCAACCTCCTCCGCCTTATCCTCGTCCTCCGTCTCATCTTCATCATCATCGTCCTCATCACCACCATCATCATCATCAGTCACTTCCTCATCATCCGTTTGATGCTCAGTCTCACTGCACTCCTTATCAGCCTCCAACATGGCTCCATCATCTCCACCAGCATCACAAGTCGTTTGACCGCTGCCCCGCGTCACCAGAGCTATCAAGACCCTAGTCAATAAAACATACGTTGCTGCCCACTTCATCCCCGTGTTCACCACGGTACGTGCGTTCATGGTGAAGAAGGATTTCCTACCTCCCCAGCTTTCAAGCCATTAAGTGCCGGAATTGTGCTGCCCGGTACGTTGGTAGGACTCTTCAACACCTGAACGCACGTATCAGACAACATGTGCCGTTGCACTTATTACCACCAGCAGCCAGAGCAAAGCGGCCAAAGCGTGGTAGGCCGTGTAAGAACCCAGTTAGCTCAGTAGACAAACACGCTGTGCCGACAGCGCCGCCTGTTCCCGTGCCACCACCGGCCCCACCACCAATTCGACAAAAATTGTTTTTGTTTGAGAACTGACAGTGGCAGTCATTAGACTCAGTAGGTGTCTTTGCTGCTTCTTCCCCTTCATTGGTAGGGTTGTGCTTGAATAGTACAAGTGCTTGAAGTAAAATAAATAGAACATGTGGAACATAAATCTAATCAAGCATCAGTACATGTATTGCGAAGTTCAACTTCAAAGCACATGAAATCACAATGATCACGACGTTTATGTAATCAGGAGTACACCCTGTGTTCAATGAACACATACACACATGCTGTATTGCGCACACACATGTACACATGTGCGTGCACCCCCACCCCATCCCACAGACACACGCAGGCAGCGCGCACATCCATACACATGTGCGTGTACCGCCCCCCCCCCTCCCACACACACTCCTACCCATACACATGTGCGTGCCCCCCCCCACACACACGTGTGCACATACAGATACACAAACACACACGCACGAACATACACACACACACAAGATACGTGTAAGTGTACATGGTCTTCCTGGTGCAGATGCTGAGCCAGCACAATGGAAAATACCTCCATCAAGATGCTTGATCAAGTTTTGTGATAATGGCACTGTTTGTTTGTTTTTACAAAGAAGTGTGGGAAAGATTACAATGCATTATAATTCATAATTGTTCTTTGCCTTGTACTGTGCAGACCAGAATGCTTCGCTATCAACTCCTGGCTTTCCATCGGCATGGTGTTCAGCTGCAGCGGCATCTGGTCCGGGGAGTTCAAGTTGCTGGATGGCTGCACTGACACAGGATGGGTTTGCGTTGGCAATGCGATACGGCAGTCATCCCACATCACGAGCTACATGTTTATGTAATTTATATTGTCGCTCATCCAGCAACGTCAAGGCTCTGCATGTAAACACAGGAGAACACCATAATACTACTCAGGGGATAATAGTTTTGGATATCAATTTTCGCATTTGCACCTTTGTGTCATTATTGCAATTTTCGCTGTTTACTTTAGCTATCTTCTTTCTTTCTTTCTTTCTTTTTGCGCTGTTTTACCACCTTCTTACTGTATTTAATCCACTGTTCCTGTTCCTTTTCCCTTGCCTGTATTTCACCTGATGAGAAGGCTTGAAAGTATACTTGTGAAGACGAAAACTTTCAAGATGTTTGTAATGAGCCTGAAGTGTGTCCTTTTTATGAGTATTATCGCATTTTTGTCTCAGAGGAAACTGGATATCAATTTCGTGACAATTATTAGATTCACACAATATTCACAACGTATGCAACACGATGCTGTCTATTGACACTACTTCAAACTGAAGTGCTCACTACTCCTCTCCCGTTTTCATCTCCCACTACCTTATGAATACTCTGCATTACTGGTTTCGTTTCTACCCTTTCCATTGCTGCCAGCTCCCAGTCTTTTTCAATGCACAGCACCACCTTGACAGTCATTTTTGTGATTTGATGTACACATACTTTGAAGTTCAAATTTGAATTACATGATCAGATTTTTGTTCCACATTTTCTATTTATTTTTACTTCAAGCACAACCCTACCGATGAAGGGAAAGAAGCAGCAGAGAGACACCTACTGAGTCTAATGACTGCCACTGTCAATTCTCAAACAAAAACAATTTTTGTCGAATTGAAAAATCTCACCTGTTAGTACAGTGTTGCTCACTAGCCACTAGTGACTAGAGTTGTTCGTCCACGAAATTTGCAATATGCCACTACGGTACCAGCAAGAGTAGGTAAGTTGGCATAGAACATCAGCTATGCAAAGCCATGTTCATCTCCTCTTCACTTTGGAAGGCAGTACAAGCACCCTTCATACCTCGACATTGCCTTGGAGTGGAAGCAAATTCACCATGAGTTTTCCAATTCGCTACGATCGATCTCGGGGTGATGATGTGTCTTTTTCATCACCACTGCAGCCTGGACAGCCTTCGGGAAGACATGTGTCACTCTCCTGCTCAACAGATTCCTACATCTAGATTTGGTTACCGTCAGGGAACGAAACAGAGCTGCAAAACACCAAAGTAATTGTTTTCTTCCATTCAATAACACTGCTGAGCATGCACAGCATGGTGACAGCTAAGCAGTACGCACGTCATCAAGGCCAATTTCCAAATATGGGAGGTGTCATTTATGAAATTTGACACAGTTCCTCTTCTCTGATCGGCTCGAGACATAGCTCATCGGAATCAGTGCCCAATTCTCCTTCGGATAAGCCATACTTATTTTTGGCGTTCAGTTTCCCTTTAAGCTCAGCCGACCAAGGGTCTCGGCATCACAGCTGCACATGTGCACCAAAGGAAACAAAATGGGGAGTGGAAGGGCGGGGAGGGGAGCAGGAGAGCAAGAACTCTAAGGGTAGGAAAGAGAGGAGGGGGGGGGGTAGGAAACCAGGAAACTTGTTATTCCAAGATATGAGTGCAAACAAGTACGCAAACAAGTACAAATATAGCAGTATCAAGATCATGATGCTGAGGCGAAAGTAGAGGCTGATTGCCATGCAGATTTGACGAAAGATTAGAGTTAGAATCGAGGAGAGTTAGAGAGAGATAAAGACAGATGGATTGGGAGTTTGATGAGAAGGGAATGCTCCGAGAACATGAACAGGGTCGTACTGGCAGTAGCCTAGGGGGCGATGTCCGTGGCCAATGACCAACCCGACCGTTTCAGGTAGCGGTAGGTCTGAACCTTGAACTGCTGCATCCCTTTGGCAGACGGTGCATCGCGGAGGAGAGTGGCTGGCAGTTCATTCCAGGCCTCGATGAGGCACTCCGGGAAAGAGCGCAGCGCAACATTGCACGATCTGGCAGGTAGGGCTGTCTGGAGTTGAAGCTCGTGCGCAAGATTGGCTGCCAAGCGGCGATGTGTGGCAGGCGCGATGGCGGGTGCGATGGCTCTGGCTGGGCGTGTCGCTGCAAGAGCTGGCGGGCTTGCGATGTAATGGAGCTTGTACAGAGTTGTGAGGCCGGCCACACGGCGCCGCAGGGACAGAGTGTCCATTGCAGCGGGTAACTTGTGGTAAGTATTACAAAAAGTGAGAACTAAAATAAAGAGTAAGTGTGACAAACGGGCATGAACAGTGCAGAAACAACTCATGAACACGGGGTGCAAACTCACGAAAATAACCTAAGTGCTAAAACATGTTCTTTTTGCTTACACAAATCGGGCTTATGCGTACGAATTTTTTTATTTTTTTTATTTATTTCTGCACCTCGTGGCATGTCAAGACAGCCAATTGAGTTGAGGAGAGGGTGAGACCAACCACGGAAGAAGAGAAAAAAAGAAAATTAAGAGCACGTACACAAAGTGGGAAGGGATTAGCAACTTACAAAGCAATGGGATGCTCAGCGAGCTATGCAGCGGAAGTGGTGACTGTGACTTTGTTTACTGGGAGATACTGAAGTGCTGTCTGACGAGTGAATACAAACAGCTTCAAGGACCTTCAACTGCTGGACATAACGGGCACGATACAGTACAGAGAAGTTGGAATCGTCATACACACTCAAACAATCGGGTAATACTTACCACAAGTTACCCGTCATGTGTCACACTTCTTTGGATTTTTAACCTTTGTTTTTCCCTTGATCTCTTTAGTTCCGTATTTCCACTGATGATCGAAACGTGAAAATCGATTTTGGAAACACACAAAACCAAACCTTGAACAAATTGTCATGTTGCGTGGTGATGTCTGTGGCATTCATACTTTTCATTGCTATTATTAAACTTCCTTTTTTGTTCACACTTTTAATTATCTTTTAATTATCCTGTTATAAAATGTTCTATTTTTTGTACACAGTACCCTCAGTTCCGATACTATTCTCTGATGAGCGGAACACGAAAATCGATTTTGAACAACATAAAAATCCTTAAAAATTCCATGAACTCGTTGTTGTCTGGCCATGTCTGCATCTATTATACTCCTAATTGCACTAATTATTATTATTATTATTACAAAGGATCTGTTGGGGAAGTGAACTGCCTGAAAAGAGAAAAAATCGCCAGACCCACCAGGACTCGAACCTGGGACCCTGCTTGTCATGAGCAATGCTCTAACCACTGAGCTATGTATGGGACCAGGCTGAACCTAGAAGGCGCCGACAAGTTTCTCACTCCAAAGGCAATCAAGGTCCCAGGTTCGAGTCCTGGTGGGTCTGGCGATTTTTTTCTCTTTTCAGGCAGTTCACTTCCCCAACAGAGCCTTTGTATTTGAAGTTCTCCCAATCCGTTCCAAAAATGGTTACTATTATTATTATTAACTGGTTTGAGGGAAAGAGACAAACGGGAAAAGTCTGAAGAAAAAATTGACTGTCACCACCAGGACTCGAACCAGGGACCCTCGCTTGTAGCCAACGATGCTCTAACCACTGAGCTATGGTGTAGTCGTCATCCCAGCAGAGGCCGTTCAACATTTTCTTCAGACTTCGTAACTCACACTTCCTGTGAATCCACACAGGCGGGTGGGACGCAGCCCTCACTGTAACCCACACACTTCACGTACAAACTAGCACGCGGGGAGCCCCAAGTCATAAAATATTAACTGGTTTGAGGGAAAGAGACAAACGGGAAAAGTCTGAAGAAAAAATTGACTGTCACCACCAGGACTCGAACCAGGGACCCTCGCTTGTAGCCAACGATGCTCTAACCACTGAGCTATGGTGTAGTCGTCATCCCAGCAGAGGCCGTTCAACATTTTCTTCAGACTTCGTAACTCACACTTCCTGTGAATCCACACAGGCGGGTGGGACGCAGCCCTCACTGTAACCCACACACTTCACGTACAAACTAGCACGCGGGGAGCCCCAAGTCATAAAATATTAACTGGTTTGAGTTATTATTATTATTATTATTCAAAGGAACAGTAGGGGAAGTGAACTGCCTGAAAAGAGAAAAACCGCCAGACCCACCAGGACTCGAACCCGGGACCTTGCTTGTCACGAGCAATGCTTGGACTGGGCTGAACCTAGAAGGCGCTGACAGGTTTTTCACTCCAAAGGCAGCTCACAACACGTGCCACACATACTGATGGCAGAAATACTTTGAGCAGCAAATCTACAATGATGCATGTACAATCTATTATACAACTAATCTGCTAGAAAGAGACTTAACACAAGCAGGTACAGTAATAGCAAGAGAGCTAAATCAGAAAACAAAATTCGTTGAAAAGTAACCGTCATCATATCTGAAATCGAGCCCTTCAGCGACACAATAGCACTGAAGGCAGCGATATAATTCTTCTCATTCAACATCAGTGAAGAACCGTCAAAACCGGTGAATTGGGGCTGATGGTATTATTGTTGTCTTTGTTATTGGCAAGTGATTAATATTACGATCATATTATTATTTTCTGCAAATAGGTGCTTCAACTAATAGTTCGAACCATGGGCATTCGCAAACCAATGTAATGTAATGTAATGAAGAATCGTCCTCTTTCCAAGCCCTCCTAATGTCAATCAACACAACAGACATACGACGACCCCGAGGACGACCACGTCTGAGATGGATCGACGTTGTCAAGAAAGGCTTACAATGCATTAATCTGTAACTTATTAGAGTGTAATTATTATTTCATCTGAGTTATTGACCTGATGATGTCAACTGTGCCAAGGAGCGCCTCCTTTTGCAAGATCGATACACTGGCTCCGGCATCCAGTTCCCTCACAAAGTCAGCAGTCGAGGGGGTTAATCCACCTAATACCCCCACAATCACTGGCACGATCTTGGCCCGCACCTGCCACATCTGCTCCATCTCACGCTTCAGGCCTTGATATTTCTGTATCTTTTCCACAGATTTTCGGCGGATGTTCCTATCCAGAGGGACACTTATGTCCACAAGGAACGCTTCATCTTTGCCCTTGATAATAATGTCGGGTCTGTTTGCTCCAACGGGCGCTGCTGTTGGAATTGGCACTTCCCAGTAGATTGACACATCCGTTTCAGCACTGTGCACGACGCTGGTGAGTTGGTGACTGTTGTGTCCCTCAGTCAAGTCATATTATTATGACTTCTCACGAGCATGCGCACTAGAGATGCATGCTCGTGTGAAGTTGGTTTTTGGGTTGTTCGGAGGCAGTCTTCTCTTGCTGCAGCGGAGTCTGGTTGAAGATAATGACATTCCGAGTTCAGAGCAGTTCAGAGTGAGCCAGTTACGTGTGTGTATAAACTGCATGATTAGATCATTGTATGGTCTAGGCAGGGACCATACAAATGGCGACGAATACTTACTTGCCCTACGCCGCCACCATCGAGCCTTTCGACGGGGGTGATTTCAAAGACTATCGCGAACGCGTTGAATTTTTCTTCTGTGCCAATAGTATTGGTGTCGTGGCGTCCAATGCCTCTTCTGGTGAAAAGAGAGCAGCGGAGAAGAAAATGACAGCGCATCTAATTTCCCTGCTCTCTAAGACGGTCTACTCAACCTTGAAATCCCTGATCCTACCTGACGAGATCGCGTCAAAGAAGTATGACGAGCTTTGTGCTGTACTGGAGAAATACTACAAAAAGAACACTACCCCAACCACCGCCGCTTTTCAGTTTCGCCAAGTCTCCCAAGCTCCGGGTGAAACTACAGTCGATTTTGCTAATAAACTCAAGCGTGCTGCTGTCGATTGTCAATTTGGCTCCCATCGTGACCGAGCCCTCACGGACCAGTTTATTTCGGGCATGGCAAGCTCGACGATACGACGGAAATTGTTACTCTCCAAGGAGTCCGATATTGACACGTTTGAGAAAGTCATCGACCTGGCTAGCAAGGAGGAACTGGCCATTTCCTACTCAAAACAATTCACTGCACCCTCTGCTGCTTCTGCGTCGATCGGGTCTCCCACGGACATTCCCGTACACATGACGAAGGAACGTCGATCCACCAAGCAGCCGATGGCGTCCGGAAAGCGTTGTTTTCGCTGCGGGTCGGATATGCACCTGGCAAACAAGTGTCGACATAAGGACGCCGAGTGCCGGTACTGCCACAAACGGGGGCATCTGGAGAAGGTTTGTCGTACTAAACTGCAGAGAGACAAGCGTGACTGTCACCATGTCATGGGTGAGGATCTTTCTACCTCCGACTCTGACTGTGAAGACGCAGGTGAGAGCGTTCCAATGTATACTGTACGTGATACTACAGGCAGCGTACCCCCGTTTGCTGTGGATGTTGTAATCAATGCGGTACCCATCCCTATTCGCATGGAAGTTGATACTGGCAGTGGTGTGTCCATACTAAATAAACGGGATTTCGAGAAGCTGGGTGGGGTTCTGTCTACCTTACCTAAATCCACCGTACTGTTGAGGGGTTTCTCTGATAAGCCTATTACCTGCCTGGGCGAGCTTGAAATGAATGTCACCTTGAATGGTACGACAGCGCCCGTTAAGCTCAGAGTTGTAGATGTCTCGGGACCATCCCTTTTGGGAAGGGACATGCTACAACTGTTTCAATTACCATGGAATGAAATCTTCTCTGTCAAAACTAGAATTGATGAAACCGTGGCACAAATTCAACTGCGTGAGGAAATTATGGCCCAATTTCCAGATCTGTTTGATTCTACCTCAATGGGCAAACTAAACACAATGAAGGTCAACCTGCGTGTTGACGACGCACACCCGGTTTTCCTCAAGCCTCGCAAAGTCCCATTTGCAATTACTGAGAAATACGATGAGGCTCTTGATCAACTCGAGCGCGATGGCATTCTCGAGAAAGTTGAATATTCACAATGGGCAACGCCAACTGTTCCGGTCAAAAAGCCGGATGGCTCGATTCGCATTTGTGCGGATTACTCGCGCACTCTAAATGCACATTCACCGCTGGAAAGCTATCCGCTACCTACAATCGCTGAGATCCGCGCTAAATTGTCAGGCGGTACGAAATTCACCAAAATCGATCTCAAGCAGGCGTATCACCAGCTCGAGCTCGATGAATCATGCCGAAAGTACACCACTATCAATACTCACCGTGGTTTGTTTGAATATGTGCGCTTACCGTTCGGTGTACACTCGGCTGTTGCCATTTTTCAGCGCACCATGGAGACTGTGCTGGCTGGCATCGATGGATGCATTGTATACATCGATGACATTGTGGTTACGGGCAAAACACCTGACGAGCATCGAGCGACCCTTGTGAAAGTTCTCCAGCGCCTGCAAGAAGTCGGCATGAAACTAAAACTCGAGAAGTTTGAAGTCATGCTTGACAGCATCTCCTACTTGGGGCACACATTCTCAGCGGAGGGTGTATCGCCATCAGCCGAGCGCACTACAGCCATGAAAGACGCAAAACCTCCTACTACTGTGAGTGAACTGCAATCGTTCATCGGTTCTGCGAACTACGTCAGAGCATTCATTCCGAATTTTGCCACCATCATGGCACCGTTGTACGCCTTACTCAAAAAAGATGCTGTGTGGAAGTGGGAGTCTAGTGAGAGCAACGCGTTTGACGCAATCAGATGTGCACTCTGCGCCACTGAAACGTTGGCTTTCTACTCCACTACGAAGGACATCAAGGTCCAAGTTGACGCCTCATGCGTAGGTCTAGGAGCGGTGCTATTGCAAGAAGAGCGACCTGGTCCTTTCCGTCCCATTGCATATGCCTCGCGTGTTTTGACCAAGGCGGAAAAGAACTACTCTAACATCGAGCGAGAGGCGCTTGCCGTGGTGTTCGGAGCTACTACTTTCCGCCAGTACCTTCTCGGTCGCAAGTTCATTTTCGAAACAGACCACCAGCCGCTTGTTAAACTGCTTGGGTGTACAGACGGCGTTCCGTACTTGGTGTCACCGAGACTCAAGAAATGGAAGTTGGCCCTAGCGGCATACGACTACTCTATCAAGCACATCCCAGGGCGCCAAAACCCATTCGCTGACTTCATGTCGCGCCAACCTGGTCCTGGCGCTCCCTGCTCCGACGAGGTAGCTGATGAACAGGTACTATTCATTGAAAGCGAAGTCATTAATGCGGACACAGTTGCTACCGAAACGCAACGGGATCCTATACTGAAGACAGTTTGGCACCATGTACTGAATGGGTGGCCGGAAACCATTGATCAAACTCTACAGCCGTACTTTGCGAAGCGCTGGGAGTTGTCTGTGTCTGACAATATCCTTCTTTGGAACGATCGTGTCATTGTTCCAGAATCATTACGTGAGTTCTTGCTGAACGATCTTCACTATGAACACACAGGTGTAGTTCGTATGAAACGCTTGGCACGTCGCTACATGTGGTGGCCTCGTATCGACAGAGATTTGGAGCAGGTTTGCGCCCAGTGTCCGGAATGCCAAGCTGAAGCACGCCTGCCAGCGAAGGAGTTTGGTAGCTGGTCATGGCCGACGGGACCGTGGCAACGCTTACATATTGATTACGCCGGTCCTTTCATGGGCAAGATGTTTCTTGTCATTGTTGATTCATATTCTCGATTTCTGGATATTGTTCCTATGGACCGTGCAACGTCCGCTACTACTATCGCTGCTTTACGCCGTGTCTTCGCTTTGTTTGGCCTACCACATCACATCGTATCGGACAACGGCTCACAATTCACGAGTGAAGAATTTCAATCATTCCTACACAAGAATGGCATTCGACACACTTGTTCCGCTCCTGGACATCCGGCGACCAACGGGTTAGCAGAACGCTATGTTGGGGTTTTCAAGTCAAAATTGAAAGCCATGGGTACGCAGGGTGACCTACACGCTACGCTACAACGCTTCCTCCTGTCACATCGTACAACCCCTTCAGCAAACAACAAGTCACCAGCTGAGATGCTTATGATGCGTCAACCACGTACCCGTTTTGACACGCTAAAACAGACCGCCAAACCGTCTGTTGACGCTTACGAACGCAACATGAACAAGACCCCAGAATTCCAACCAGGCGACGCTGTGTTCACTCTAAATTTTGGCTCTTATGGTTCAAAGTGGGTCCCAGGTCGCATCGTGTCAGTCATCAGTCCAGTCAACTACCAAGTTCAAGTTCAGGATGCTTTGTGGAAGCGTCATCGCAACCAGTTGAGAGCACGTTCAGTTCCTTTGTCTGAGTTTGTGAGGGAGGATGTGGCTGAAGCTCCCCCTAAATCGACGCATCAGGCTCCATCGTCATCCGCTGATACTGGTCCCAGTGTTTCTTCTACCGGTACAGTTTCAAGTTCAAGTCCTACTACCGCTGAGAAACAACCGTCAAGTCAGTCAACAGTCAGCCCTACACCAACAACCACGACAATACCTACGGATAGTGAGTCTGAGTCTAGAATGCCAACACCATCGACACCTGGTCAGAACACTAGTACGACCCGGTCCGGCCGCCAGGTTGTCATACCTGAACGGTACCGCACTCAAGCCAAGTAGTGGTTTCCAGTTACTGCAGTGGTCATGAACTGTATTATAATGTGTATACAAATCTTGTTTCTGTAAATAGTTCAAATAATTATAGGTATTAGCCGTCATAAATACATGAATAGTTACTATGTCAGCCATGGGTATCGGTTATAATTCTATAGCGAATGATGACATAATTGGTTGCAGATCAGACACTCGCATAGTAGCCATCCATACGTATTTGAACCACTCTTATTACTGTTTTCCATGTTCGTCTTTTTCTAGTGGTGGGGGAATTGTTGTGTCCCTCAGTCAAGTCATATTATTATGACTTCTCACGAGCGTGCGCACTAGAGATGCATGCGTGTGTGAAGTTGGTTTTTGGGTTGTTCGGAGGCAGTCTTCTCTTGCTGCAGCGGAGTCTGGTTGAAGATAATGACATTCCGAGTTCAGAGCAGTTCAGAGTGAGCCAGTTACGTGTGTGTATAAACTGCATGATTAGATCATTGTATGGTCTAGGCAGGGACCATACAGTGACTTGTGTACTTATTCGAAATGTCCAATGCACCATACTTCGTGCACAATGTCCAGTGGAGATATTTTGCTAACCTGGTGTGGCGATTGACATAGTGACTTCCCGCACAAGCTGTACACGCTCCAATAAGGTGGAAAACTGTTTCCTTGTCCCTGCCACACATCCTGCAACTCGTTCTCGTTGACACACCTGTTCCTCGATCAAATATCTCTTGTAAGTTCCGTGTTGGGATAGCCTGGTCCTGTATGGCCATGACAATACTCTCTGTCGCCGGACGCAAAGCAGAAGACCGCAACCACGCAAAGGAGAGCCCTCGATCGAGCTCAGTATCCTGCGGCATCAGCCAAAATTGGCCATGCAGAGGCTTCTTTCTGATTGTCTCCTCCCGATGCCGTTGGTATCCCTGGCGTATTTGCTCCTTTGTGGCTGACTCCTCCATACCAATCTTTGCCAAATATTTCGCAGCATCACTGGAGACAGAGTATTTTGCTTTTTCATGATGGTACTGTTTTAGGAGAGCAATGGCAATGTGGTCTTGGTGGCCCTCGATGTATTTATTGATCTTGATGATGGATCGTTCGTGTAGATCTACCACACTCTGGAATCCACGGCCGCCTTCGGGGCGCACCAAATGCACCCTCTCTCTGTCAGCCCGAGGGTGATTCCATCCCTTCTTGGTGAGCTTCCTCCTGAGCAAGATACCCAGCTGCTCCAATTCTACGGGTCGCCAGTTCATGATGCCAAAGCTGTAGGTGAGCAGTGGCACCGCGTATGTGTTTACTGCCTTTGCTAAATATCCAGCCGTTAATCAAGACTTGAAGATCGCATCTAATCGCTTTCCATAATCCTCACGAAGCTTGCTCTTTATCTCACCATGCGGCAGTGCAGCCGATTCAAAGAATCCGAGGTATTTGTACATGACTTCTTGCAGGGTGGGTAAGCCATGCCCAACAGTGTTTCGACAGGCTCCGCATCACTTGACTCAAGCACTCCCCGGTGTACATGAAGCGTGGCGCACTTCGAAACACCAAACTCCAGGCCAATGGCCGAAGCTGTGATCTGGGCGACGTTGACCATGGGCTTCAGCTGGTTGCGATGTTTGGCATACAATTTGATGTCATCCATGTACAGGAGTTGAGAAACGACCTTTGAGACCTCTCCAATTTGCATTTGATATCCGCCGCCTGTCTTCTGCACCTCTCTTGAAATGCAGTTAATAGCTAAGCAAAACAAGAGGGGTGATAGCGTGTCTCCTTGGAAGATACCACGGCGAATCCTGACAGATTCTGTTGAGACCCGCGCATTTTGATATGATAAACTCATGTGTGTATTCCAGAGCTGCATGCTTGCCTCCAAGAACTTGACAAGAGCTGGGCTAAATTTGTACATCTCCAGCATCCGAATAATCCATACATGAGAAACACTGCCAAAGGCTTTCTTGAAGTCGATATACGCAACAGAGATATTGCGCTTATTATGCCGAGCGTGCTCCATTGTCATCTTATTGACAAGAAGTTGCTTCTTACAGCCTAGTGTTCCCGGGGTACACCCTCTCTGTTCATCTGGGAGTATCGAATTGGTGTCAATGTGTTTCCACATGAGACTAGCAACTACGGCTGTCAGGATCTTGTATTGTGTGGGTAGACAGGTGATAGGGCGATATTGGGCTGGGTTAGATGTGGGTGGCTCCGTCTTGGGCAGCAGAATTGTGCGGCCAGTCACCAACCATTCCGGAATTGGCCAATCACGGACAAGGGTCTTCTGGAAGGCGATTCGCAGGGCAATGTGTAGATTAGATAATTTTTTCCACCAGTAACCATGAATTGCGTCTACACCACTAGTTTTCCACCTGCTGACCTTAGCTAGCGTGTCCTGGAGTGCCCGTTGAGTCACAGATACGGGTTCTTTCTCTGCAATGGTAGTCTCATATTCCACTCTTTGTTCTTGATACCACCGTGATGACTCATCAAACGGCACAGGCTTGGCTAGTATACCAGACCAGAACTCGAATACGGCACCCTCACTCGGTATTTCCCCGGGATGCTGCTGCTCCGGCCCCTTTCTCAGTCTACGGTAGAATTCTTTCTCATTTGTGCGGAATAGTGTGTTAGCTCTCCTGCTCTCCCAGATGTGTTGATCACGTCTTGTCCTCTCCGCTAGTGCAAGCAATTCCAGCTTCCTCTGTTCCAGGGCGTATCCAATCTGGGAAGTGTTAGATATTCCGTACTGAGCAAAGAACCGTTGGTGCTTGACGGCAGGGTATTTCAACATCATTGTTAGTCGAGATATATCTGCCCGTAATTTCTTCGCTTTGTTGCGCGATTTCACTAACCAAGTCGGTTCCGGTGGTCGCGAGCTCGCCGGCTTGCCACTGGCGTTTTCACCGTTCGTCTCAGACAAGGAAATGCCACATCTGGTCAAGGAACATCGAGCAGCAACATATACTAAGCAATTGAGATCTTCCATTTGAAGATCTTTGTTTTTACTAGTGGTGTTTATCACTCCAGGGATTGCTTTGTTCACAAGTGATGTCACCTGATCGAGTTTGCGTTGAGGCACATGGCGAGGTACAGGTAACCTTGGCCTTTCGGACATGGGTACATTTCTCCATCTCAAGTATGCCTCACTGAGCACGTTCGTGGTGTCAGTGTTGAGTGCATCCATGGCGTCAGTTTCTCCATCTTGAGGATGAGTAAGGTCACTTAGGTCAGTGCAGTGCTGCTTTGTGGAGGCATCCCCTGCACTGCCACTAGGTTGTCACTGCTTGTATGTATGTACATTACAGTAGTTACTAGCACAGCTGTAGCAGGCTGCAGGCTGTCACCAAAGTCCTTGCTCTGGAGGTGTCAAAGCCAGGGCTGCTCGATGCAAGTAGAAGTGTAGCCTGCGTCGCTGGTGTAACCTCGGAGAGATCACCCATACTAGTACTAGTACTAGTAGTACCACTAGTACACAGCTCAGCATGCTCATCAGTCTCCACGGTTACATTACAGTTAGTTTCATCAGCTGAGTTGGTTTCCATGGTGGTCGAAGTTTCAGACGCTCTTTGGTTCCGCTCCTCCATCATCTGCTTCCGCAAGACGTCTTCTTCCACCTTCGAAATTGTATTGTTTTTAGTTATATATCGCCTTCTATCCGCCAACAGACCCTCACTCACCGGTCTATCAGGCCTCACAGCGGTCCATATATATCATGCATACGCCACACGTACCCAAGCTGCAGCCGTCCACACTCGGTAGCAAGCAAGTACGCCTTTATCACATCCCGGTTGTCCTCCCATGTCCATTCCAATCTCCTCCGCGCACGAGCAGGAGGGACAGCGCAATCCTCTCCCGAGTGATCCATTACACATCATATCCTTAGTAAACTCAATAAACCTGAAAAATAGGCTTAGGAGCGGGCCTACTTTGAGCTGTTGCTCGTGTTCGGCCAGAACTCCCAAATTGCAATTCATTCTCCCTGATGGGCAAATTATTTGCATCACAAACAGCAACTATTCTGCACTCGCTGTGCTGAGCTTGAAGATGGGAAACAAAAAAAAATGGAAAGGTAGATACTACGTTGCCAAAAAGAAGAAATATTATGGAAAGAAGCCTGAAACAGCTCCCGATCCTAACCCTGTTCCTGTGGAAGCGGAGCCAGAAGATATTGGACGCAGCTCTTCATTTGCAAAGCTCGTCGGCTGCAAACCCTGGTGGGAGCAGGAGACATCAGACAGCGATGGCGATGTTGGAACGGAGTCTGATACCTCACTGACCTCGAACCCAGACACGAGTGACAGCAGTGATGACAGTGATTGTTTAGAGGCTGATGAGCCCCATACTGGTGCGGGAAACGTATTTTCGACTTGGAGCAGCTGCAGGAGATTCTGCTGAAATGTGTGTGCAGTTTGTAAAGTTGGCAGTATCATTTTGGAAAAGGAGAAACAGCAAGGCTTAGGATCGCACATGGTCATATCCTGTTCATCAGAATCATGTCCTGGTGCTAATGTCAAGTTTTCATCGTCCATAAGAACAAGATTTTTTGACGTCAACCGATGCTCCGTTTTAGCTGCCAGGCGCATTGGTCGAGGACACTCTGGTCTCCAGAAATTCTGTGCCATTATGGACCTCCCCAAGCCTGTCAACAAGACGAACTTCCAGAAACACCAACAAGCTGCAATTGAGACTGCACACACGGTTGGCGAGAAAAGCCGCAACTACGCTGCCCAGCAGCTGTTAGCAGAAAATCCCGAAGCCAGAGGCCATCTACAAGTTGCTGGTGCCTATTTACCGAAGACTGGCAGACCAGGCACTTCTGAAACGGTGCTTGCTTGGTGCCACACAAAATGCCAAAGAGGCATTCAATGGTGTCGTGTGGCGCATGTGCCCGAAGGAAGTCAATGCAGGTCGCTGTGTGGTGGAGCTCGCTGCAAATCTTGCCACATGCACTTTCAATGATGGTGCCATGAGCCTTTGTCAAGTTCTTGAGAGAAATGTCGTGTTCTGTTGGCCATAACACCATCAAGGCACTGAAGAAGGAGGATACTGACCGCAATGCACATGCCGAAGTGGCCAGTTCAGCATTGCAAAAAAGCACAACAAAAAGAGGAGAAGAAAGAAAAAGGGCTGGGAAGAGCAAAGAACAGAGCAAGATGGTGTCACATATGAGGCTGGTGGATTTTAGCTTGGTTTGGTGAGGTTTTGTTGCTGACATTACAGCATATGCCTGCATTTTTGTCTGTTTTGGACCCCTTGAGTGTGTTTTCTGAAGTTTTCTCTTGGATAAAGTGTCTGGACACCCCCAAAGTATACATTTTTGGAAAGGTGATGCCCAGGCCTAGGGCACCTGGGTGTTTTCAAGAGCAACACTTTAACTGGAACATCTTTGCCCTCTCTCAAATGTTGCAACACGATCGCGTATTATATATGTTGTTTTTTAAGGTGTATTGTGCGTCCTTTGTTCCTTTGGATGGACTTCTGCTGACCCAGGTGCCCTTCCCCAGACCTAGATGGTTTGGATCCAACAAATTTGGACCCATCAAATTGTCTTTTCCTGGACATCTTTTTAAGAAAATGTGTAGCCCGTCATATCGACAGAAAGTGTACATTCTGATTTTTATTTTCCAAGGATCTCGCAAAGCATGACAATATATTTTCTGCTGTTGCAATCACCACCCTTTCATCTGTGTGTGGAGAAAATTTGGAGTGATTTGCTTGTGTGGAACCAAGGTAATGCCTCTTCTTGTGCGGTCGGCCCAGATACAGCCGCGAAAAGAGTACTAGTACCTTTTAAAGTATTATCCGCCTCCGACCTCTTGTAAAAATTATTATTATTATTATTATTATTATTGTAGAAAGGAAAAGGACATATGGATACGAGTTAAGTGTGAACCCAACCAGAATGATTCACACAACCCATCAGCTGTGAAAAATGATTCTGCAATAACTACACATCTGATCATGTCCCCTTCTTGCCTGAATGCAGTATGTAAGAATGTTCCAGAGCACTTCAAGATTCACGCGCGGGCGCGCAGCAAATGTCACCTAGATGTGCTAGAGGCTGTTTATAATGCCAAGCTACAGCCTGAGCTGTGTAGACAGAAGGAGTTTGTTAGGAAGCTAGTGCTATTTTGACTTCCCACCTCCCTGTTATAGTGCTCGTACTCTTTGGCGCAACTCACACTATCATTCAGCCTGTGTTCGTTTCATCACAATTTTTCCGCCAATATGCTGTATAAATTGACATCGTTGTGCTTCATCACATTATCACCATGTACTGATTTTGAAGAGTAATGGTACGAAAGGCCTTTTCAGATTTACAACTAGCTTCGTCTCTTCGTGTGCTGATATGTTTCCCTCCGACTAAGTCTCTATGTATGTAATCAAGCACGCTCAGGAGGTCATGATGGCTGAATCTTGCCTGAGCCTGCACGGCCCTGCAGCCCAAGGGCCGTAGGCCCGAGGGCTGCAGGCAAGGGCAAGATTCAGCCATCATGACAGATAAGACAGAGTGTGCTTGATTTGATTTCTTACAGCGCGAAGCAACATATTAGGGAAGGTCAAAGGTGGAAAGGTCGAAGGTCGACAAATTATTCTCGAAATGACGTCAAACGGTCCGAACATTCCCGAAATGACGTCAAACGGTCCTGAAACTCCCGAAATGACGTCAAACGGTCCTGATGGCCTGATTATGCCCGCGGCGGGAAGATCGCCTATTGGCCATGGCCCCGGCAACGGCCACGTGTCATGTAAGAATTATTATTATTATTTGAAACTCGGGTATTGAGCCAATAATAAAAGTAGAAAGGAAAAGGACATAATTATGGAAACGAGTTAAGAGTAACTCTCCACCACTGTAACTAGATACTATATACAGTCAGAAAGTGCAACAACTAGGCACAAAACTGACAGAGTACAGAGTTTCCATAATTATGTCCTTTTCCTTTCTACTATTATTATTATCTTTATCATTTTGAGGATCGGATGGTAGTCTGCTGGACAGGTGGTCGCATTATCAGCCCAGTGAGTGGTCCCCTGTATGCGTTTACCTAGATGTACATGTAGATGGTAATTGCAGGTGTTAAAGACTACATGACAGTGTAAGACTAGTCTTCCGATAGCTGCCTTTCCTCACTAGACATATACATCAAACTGACTATGCTTCCTTCTTTCTCGGTCCCTCCGAAACACAAAAATGTAATCATCCTAAACAATGACACAAAATAGTTTGAGGGAGTTTAACAAACATAGCACCGCTTGCTCTCTCGCACTCTTCCTGCATGCTGCGAAGAAAGCTGATTTATACATTCGTACTACATACTATACAGGGAGCACGTAACAACACCTGCCACGGTAAAAAACAAAGTGACTTGACTTCAACATAATTATTTTGCCCTGTCGCATGGCCATGGCCATATACGCATTGCAAAACACTTTTCCTGTAGGAAAGAAAAATGAAGTGAAGAGTGGGTCTAAAGGCCCCTGGCTCGAGGTCTGGTTGTGACAAACAAAATTAATGTTCTTCAGATTTTTGCCCTTAGGAAATCCTATCAATGTTATCTAGCGCACATTCCATAATGGTTCCAAAATGAAAAAGTGTGACTAAACTTTCGTTATTGAGGTAAATCGAGGGGAGGGGATTAATTCTATAACCGGACTCTGTATATAAGTTGGCATCTCCTAAAATTTACTGAGCGAGAGGTAAGGATCTGTTTTAGTCTGAACAGAACAGGGGAGGTTGTTGAAAAACACAGCAGCCCGGCTTCAAAACTGGGATTTCAAACTAACAGCCGTCCAATATAGATTCAGACCTAAGCTACGGGATAAATCCCGAGTTGGGTGCCAGCCCTGCATTTACTAGTACAGGATGGAAGAGAAATTTGCACTTAGGTGTTACTACCTGCCGTGCCAATTGCGTATAGAAACAAAACTAGGGTCAAAGTCGGCTAGAAAAACGCGGGGGGGGGGGGGGCTGAAACCATGATGGGATGAGGAAATTGAAGCCAGCATTGCTTTGGTGAGGAATTGAAATTGACGAGATGCGTCTAGCGCACCCAAATGATCACGGTCATCTGTGTGTGCCAAATTACCGGCGAGATGGACTTTGGCAGCTGGCAATTCTCCCAGCGACAGTCTGTGTTGTAGCTGCTCCAGTCCGTATCACAGTTGGAGGTAAAGCTGTCAGGTGAATACTTGTCAAATGTAATGCCTGAAGCAACAAAAGGAAGTAGATCACCAGGGTATTGTGTCACTGTTTAAAACAGACAACTATCAGGAAGATTTGAGGAAAAAATCACTCCCACAAACACAAATTGGCGTAGATACGAGACCATTCTCAAGTACACAAGCTCCACTGCAGCCACTTAATTACACGGAAGCCCTACATAATCACCAAAGCAAGTGCAGTCTTTGCTACTTCAAGTACTTCGAAGTACACATTTCCATTACCTCAATCAAATTTTCAGCCAGGAGCCTGTCGAGACGTGCAGGAATATATGTTGTTATAGTTTAGTTTCTAGTTTCAGATTCCTAATCATAATGGTCAAAGCCGTTTTTCTTCCGAGGTGTTTGCAAGCACGAAGCTTTTGTATGACACTTTTGAAAAGATTATTCCCCGGTCTCCATGATTTTCTGTTGAATATCAAGTCTCCGCATGACAATCATGACTACTCTGGAAACAAACAAATCACGACATTTTTTATCAACATGCTAAGACGTCATTGTGTTCAAGAGACTTAGTTCAGTGGAACAAAAAACACTTCAAGACAACGAGTGAATGCACTTCTTTGAAATCAGCACGCTGCTGTACAGAAGAAGTTGGTACCGTTTCATTCTCACTTAAAGTCACCATTGCTCGATTCTTTCGAAATCAGTTCATTAGAATCGAACGTTTTTAAAATTGAATTCACCAAATTTGGCTGCCCTAGGAACTAGACTGTAGCTGTAAAAGGAGAAGCACTACATGGACTGACCGCTTGAGGCACTGCTAGAAGAAGAATAGCTGGGCCTGGTGCCCCTCTTCGCTGTGCAGATATCATACACATTGTTGGTGGACGACAAGTAGACACCTGTGAACAGAATACACCACACAATGTAAGTGTACAGAGGCGCACAATGTGAGACACAAACGTCACGGTGAAGATATGACACAGCATGGCAGGGATACCGCTAACACTGAAGGCACTGGGCCCTGATTCGTCGTCACCTAGGGGACGGAACTGACCTACTTCACCTTTCAAGGAGACGAGCCCATTTGTACATAAACAGGAAGACATGCTTTTGTGCTAAAAGAACACGGTTGGTTGGATTACCAGAAGTGATTTTGAATACTTTTGCCGAGTGTGGACTCTTTTCGCAAGTAATTACGATTGGCTTACAGTGCATTTCAAAACTATAGACGCGTAGGGTTTTTGAAATATTTCAAATTTGGCTGGAACTTTTTGAGAATAGTTTTCGGAATATTGCTCAGGACCGCTCCACAATTACTCTCATATACAATGTAGTTTCTAAACGATTGGATAACAGACGCCCAATTTGGAAAAAATTATGCACAAAGTGATCACAGATTTTATGTGGTATAGATGCTGGCATAACGGTTTTTGCCTAGGTACGCATCTATAGTTTTGAAATGGACTGTAGATTGCTTCAACACCATTTGGAAAAAGTGCTTGGTAACCTTCTCGACAAAAGGGATACGGTTTTCACACTTTTCTTAGCAAGCAAGGGCATGGTAGCTTGGGCCCAGTGGGCTTTAAATGAACCCAACACTCTGAAAAGTCTGAATGCATCACCAAAGAGCACAGTAAAACCTGTCAAGGCGACCACCTGTCTTAGAAGACCACTGGAACCTGGACCAAGGGATGCTACATGTACTTCCAGTCTAATGAACCTGCATAAGCCAGCCACCAGGTAAAAGAGACCACACGATGAAGGTCCCTTGAGCAGTCGTCTTAGACAGCTTTTACTGTAGTACAATTATAATTGAGCAGGCTTTAAGATAAGGCCCTTGGCGGGATCGTCGTTGACTGGTCGTCTCCTAAACAACAAGACTGACCTTGTTCTAAGCAGGATTTCTAGTATGCTCCTCAGTAGGCATGAACGGTTTGGTGTCTGATGTTCTGCCAGAGTTCTCCATCTACCTATCTTTTATTATTTCCTTCCTAAACCAGCATTGGTAAAAAAATGTAAGTGATCACACTATCCTGCGCCACTACTTAATCATAATAAATTAGAAAATTAGTGTCATTATTATTCTCTTACCAGAATTGGACTTTCCAAGGTTAGAGTTGATATTGGCTTTGTAGGCGTATACCAGCTTGCCCTTGTAGTAAGCACTGACCATCTGCTCCTTGTAACCGGTCTGTACCTTATTGGGAATGTTGCACCAGGTTCCTGTGGATGTGGGTACACCCAGGCATGGCTGATAGTAACTGCTGTAGGAGCGCATATCGTTGAGGCGAGTTTTGTAAGGTCCCTGTATGGGCAGCATGATAAAGATAGCGTCAGGATTCCAGTCATTTTGAGTTGAGATCTTGTGTGTGCGGTACAGCTAATTCATGTCTGGTCGCGTCAGTTGTGGCGTCAGTTGTGCTCCCCTTGGTTCTACTGTGCCTGGAATGTTGTTGATTATATTTTGATTCGCTAACCCAAACGGATAAATATACCCAATAACAATGGAGCGAAAAAGGAGAGCCGCAGCACAGAAGAGAGAGAGAGACAGAGAGAGAAAGAGAGAGAAAGAGAGAGTGAGGGAGAGACAGAGCAGAGCAGAACAAGAAGCATCAAAATTTAATGATGGGTAGACACGGGCTTTCGCTAGTCACAGTAGAAGACTGATAAAAATGGTAACCACACTGCCACATCATACCTTCACCCCACTGCTAGCACCCATTTATGTTATTCAATTGAACCACAAAACCACCCGGGTAGACAGGGGCGTAGCAGCAGGTCCGGCCGGTCCGGCTTTGGCCGGATCACTTTTCCGCCCGGCCACGCCCAGAATGCAGGGTGTTGTACCCTGATTTCAAAAAATTCCCGGGGTAACCCCCCCCCCCCCCCCCGACCCCTCTACGGCAGTGCTACGCGCCTGGTGGATGGAACTGAACAGAAGCAAGAAAAGATTAGGGCATGAGATACTAGGGCAGCTGGAATCAGCGAGCGGGAAAGAATAAACATCGAGTGGCGGTTGTTAAAATGGCAGTTGTAGCTGTGCTGGTAAAGCTATGGGGACAGTAGCAACGAAGAGGTCTTACAGTCGCCGGGCCAAAACAAACCAGGAAAAAGCACATTAAGTACATGGGAAAAATAGAGAGCGGTTATATTCAAGAAGGGACGATTGCGTGTGAGCCTAAGACACGATACTTGTATGCATAGGTTTCCCTATTACCCGCAAAACCGCATACTTGGTGTGTCTCCTATTCTGTGAATAGGGGCTTACCTCAAAGTAGGAGTGCTTCCATACCATGGTCCATCCGCCACCATCGATTGACTTGTCCAGCAAACAATAAGTCTGCATCCGTGCATACAATCACACATGCATATTCACACAGTTGAGGATATCCACAAATTTTTGTGCGAATTTGTACACAGACATAGACACAGGTACATGTATTCACATACGTACACATGTGCCTACATTGCATTCAGGTCATGGTCAATTTGCTACTTCAGTAGCAGACTGCACAGCGCATTGCCTGCAAGCTAAGTGAGAACAGCGAGAGCTACTGACAAAAACAAAGATCTTATCAAAGAAAGGAATGCAAGCTGCACCTATGTAAGTTCCGATGATGCATGTTCATCAAGCAAAAATGAGTTTATTTGTAATCCATTGGCAACCAATTCAAGTTCAGGCTCTTAAATTACAAAACAACTTCCACACAGGGGACATGACGATTGTTATCCCTGTTTTCTCTCCATTATCATTTCCTAATCATTTCTGGCAAAAAAATCCCATTTGGTAAATGATTTGAAACTCGGATGTTGAGCCATAAATAAATGTAGAAAGGAAAAGGACATAAGGATACGAGTTAAGAGTAACTCTCCATCACTGTAACTGGATACTATATACAGTCAGAACCTTGAACCTTCCAAGTTGGAAGGTTGTCGGTTAGCGCTATGGAGATGTGTTGAAGCTAGGTGTCAGAACGTCGAATGTCTCAGTACTCTGTCAGTTTTGTGCCTAGTTGTTGCACTTTCTGACTGTATATAGTATCTGGTTACAGTGATGGAGAGTTACTCTCAACTCGTATCTATATTTCCTTTTCCTTTCTACACTTATTATTTGCTAAACATCCGAGTTTCGTATCCTTATGGTAAATGATTCAGTAGAATATCCATAGTAACAATATGACACGTATGTACCTACCTGCACAGATCCACCACTGGCACCGGCCCATTTGATCCAGGCTATACCACTTGAATTATACGTTACGGATTTGCAGTTTGGTGCTGGAGATTTGGCAGACTGTCCAACTACACAAGCCGAAACACAACACGAAAACCGGAGGTGTGAGTTTCCAAGTCTGAAGAAAGTGTTGAAGGGTCTCTGCTGGCAGCACGACCGCAGCATAACGCATTCGTTGCAGTCTCCAGGGTTCCTACCCAGACTGCATTATTCCCTTGTGGAACAGCCTACCAGCACAGCCGCAACCCAGACAGCTCCAATCCTTCAAGGAAAAATGCAACAAGTATCTGCTGCACCTGAACTGGCAAGCAGCCACCGACGCCCTATGAAACGGTTTAGACCAGCGCCTCACTAGCATCCTCCCCCCCCCTCTTTACCACAATGTGACGTTATCTTTCACTCTGCTTCTCTCGCGACCATCTACCCATTGTCCTCGTTCCTCACTATTATTCATTTCCCCTCTTCCTCCTCTCTACATGGTTTTACTGCATTATGGTGCGCTCTGTCTGCGTAGACGCCGAGATCTTTGAGGTCGGCAGAGCAGCCTGGCCCCGCCACCACTTCTCGCACATATTCGTGAATATAGTGGACTTTCGTATAAAAAAATATAAAAAAACAAAAAAACGTAATGACATGGCATTGCTGGCTTACGGAGGTACCAGGTTCGAGTCATGGTGGTAGCAGTAAACTTTTCTTCGACTTGTTACCTTTTCCCATCTCTCAAACTACTGAAATTCAGTGATATTGCCACACTTACGTGATTGACACTGCTTCAGTGTTGTCGAGCATTTGCCAGCGACGCAGTCTGAGTCCACATTACACTTTGCGCCGTGCGGGCAGAGATTCGGACACAATCCACCACAGTCGATATCGGTTTCAGCTCCGTTGGCGACCTGAAGGTGAATAGAGACAACTTAAAATGTGAATCTAATAGACGGAAATGGGAAAGGAAGTTTGGTTGCTACTCTGATTTAAATCATGCTCTAATCCATCAAGAGCAATCTCAAAACTTTAAAAATAGCAATAAATAGAAAAGACGATGGAAATACTGAACCTAGCAACAAAATAAGGGGCCGTATTTTCCGGGGTATAAGCTGCACCCCCCCCCCCCCCCACCCCGCCCCTTCCGGGGCCAAGATTTGTTTTTCGATTAAAAAGTTAAGAGCCACGACTGAAGTTCTGGCAAAAGGTTTCCTAGTTTGTTCTACATTCTGAACTGGCAACATGTAGAATCTTCGTGCTAGTGCAACGGTGGATTGCAGTATGCGTGAAACGTAGTCGAATGACACCATAATGTGCATAACTTGTACATGTACATCCATGGAGTGCTGGAGTGCTGGTCGATTCGCATCTAAAACTTGGAGTCTAAGCCGGAGTCATCAGTTACCAACTTTTTCATGTACAGCAAAGTCAGCGATCCATCATGGCACTGGTACGAAGCTTCTACTTGCAGGGGCGGCGGATCCGGTCCGGTTGGTCAGGCTCTGGCCGTCAACGGGTACTAACTGCTGAGGGGGTCACGTGTTCCCGCCTTATCAGCCACAAGGTATGAACGGCTTCGGCATGGCCGGGCCAATCAAAAAAGTTAAACTGATCCATACAAAAACCTGGATCCAAGTGGATCTGAAAGTCAGCACTCGCGGTCATGTCTCCTCCACGTTGGCTGTGATGTGGTGCTTACATGCCCTTTTGTACATTCAGGGCAATTTCGCCTTAAATCAGTAGCCTTTTAAAGGGAAATCTCGCTGTAAATAGCTTTATTGACATGGATATCCTTGCCCCACTGAAATCAGACGTCAATGTGGACTAATAATGTTGTTCAGTATAGCAAAGAAAAAGGACCAAGAAACTACAAGTTACGCTTTTTTCTTTACTATATATTTATCCTTGGCTCTACATCCGAGTTCATTCAATAATGTTGCTTTCAAAGTTTCTACAGAGAATGGTACCAAAAATTATTATGCAGAGTATGTTGCATTGCGTTGTCAACCAAAAAAGTAAGAATGTCGTGTTGCATGGGTCACAGTGTTGACTAAACGTCTTTCATCCTTTCATCGTGTAGGCTAAATCATCGCTGGAAAACATCAAGACTGGTTACTTCAAAACCATCCAGCAGAGAATGATCTCACCACCCTTACCCCATCACGACATCGGTAGTACATGTAGAGGTCATCCTTCTTCAGTGTGCCACGGAACGGGACTTCATAGAGAACTGCCTTTGTCACACGATCCTCCTCAAAGATACGCATCTGAGTCAAGATGCTGATTCTACAGGAACAGATCCAAGATGCAATTTTCTATATTAATACTTGAACATTTCTTTTTAAAAGTCACATCAAACATGGTCTCTTTAGCTGCCATAGCATATCAATGGTCCGCTGCAGCAAATCCAGTTCACACACTTCACGAATAGATTATGATTCCGGGTTTTTTAGTTCCCAATATGTGATGATTGCACAGTGTCATGGTAACAATCTCATGTCACGCTGCAGGTTAGGGCACACAACCCCCCCCCCCCCCCAACACACACACACACACACACACTCTCTCTCACACACACACACACATACGCACACACACACACACACAAACCATTGGACCATTGGACCATTAGACGCCCATTGCCGGAGGCGATGATAGCGATGCTACAGCAGAAGCCATAGCAGCTTGTGCTGGGATTGCACCATTCAACAGCTTGCAAGGCTGAAAAATTGACCGCCACTATTCAGCCTGGTCTATATACACCACATAGCTATGAAGTGGCTGTTTCTGGCCAGTGAATCCCTACTTTTGGTCTTTTTCATTCTTTTCATTTTTTCTTTTTTTCACGCACACACATCACACCACATACTCCGGCGTGCACTGGCTGTTGGTAAGCACCCAGGAGAATGAAAGAAAAGTCAGGAGGAGTCTGAGAAAGAGAAGAAAGACGTGTGTGACCATAATCGTGGGGAATCGAACCCGCAACCTATCGATTAGAAATCGCTGCACATACCACTGCACCATATGGGACACACACACACACACACACACACACACACACACACACACAGGACATCATGCTGTGCTGAGTTCTGACCTGGAGTCAGCAGTGAAGTTCCAGTGGGGTGGATTGCAGCGAACATAGCTGCTGTTTGCTGCCAGCTGTGTGGTGGCATTGACATGCAGCATCACACCCAGTGACGATGTGTTAGAGAACTGACAAAGGAATGATGCAGATGTATTGAACCCGATACCTGAACGAAAAAGATACAGAGAAAGGTGTTAGAACTGCCGGGAAATGCTCAATGTACGAAACGCAAATATCTACACATACAAAGAACAGACGTGTAATTGAATTTAGAAATTGTAACTATGAATAAGTTTTATGCCGAAGCAAACATCAGACCAGTGTCTGCTCTAGGATTGTAGGACAGCCGGGTACACGTGTACCTGGCGCAACCATTTCAACCGGGTCGGAGCCGGGTACACATGTACTCGACGCGCGCCTCTGCATGATCTGTCACACATACAAGCCATGTACTGAGTAGTCAGTCCTTTGAAAGTTTCAAAGTTCGAACGTGTAAAGACGTACCAACCGGGTCACAGGTGACCCTGTACTATATTTTCAACCGGGTCCAAGCGCCGCCCAACCGGGTCTAAGCGCCGCCCAACCGGGTCCAAGCGCCGCCCAACCGGGTCGATTACCCGGCTCACCCAGCTCTGGAGCAGACACTGCAGACAAATGCTACTATAACACAACGACATGTGGACACATACCTTTCCCTCCTTCTCTCCCCCCCCCCCCCTCTCGCTCTCACGCACATGCTCTCTCTTAAACTCATACTCTCTCTCTCTCTCTCTCTCTCTCTCTCTCTCTCTCTCTCTCGTCAGTTCCATTCTACATGTGGTTTAGTATGAATAGATAGTGTAGTCCGGTCTGTCTCACTTCGCGTTTGCGTAACTTCCCCCCTTTTGCTTCTCTCCAATAAACACAAGCCTCCAAAGTTGGGTGGTCGTTGTTTCGCGTTCTCGAAGTGAGCCGTGACCGTCCTGTGCCGTGGTCATTCGTCTTTCGTCACCATCTCGTCAAAGCCAACATTCTTAGTTTGCTGTGATGTTTGGCTTGTTGTCGTCTTGAGTGCGCTCACTTTCCCCTTTCTCATGTTATTTCATAACTTAGAACCTTCCAAGTTGGAAGGCTGCTGGTTTGCGCATCCAAGACGTGATAGAGCGTATCATCGGGTCGTTGAATTTCAGTATTGCATCAGTCAGTATTGTGCTAGCTGTTGCACCTTCCGACTACACAACATCTTGATTATAACTGCTGTTAGTGTTAGTGTTAGTGTTAGTGTGTTAGTGTTGGACACAAACTACGGATAACATGTTACATTTTGGTCATTTCTTTTTATTTTAATCATTGGCTCTCCACCCGAGTCTGACTTCAACTTTTAAAGCGTAAATGTACTGAGATGCAACACTCGTTACAGGCCGGAATTCATAAAGTTTTAGAAGGAAAATTGTGCAACAACTACAACGACTACGGTGTTGTCGTTGGCATACTTCTTTTGCTTACCATAAACTAGCACAGAGCCATCAGACTGGGTAGTGGTGTTGAACCAACCGACTATAAGTGCAGACAGACAAACAGCCAGGCAAAGAGGCAGACAGAGAGACAGACAGAGAGACAGACCGACAGACAGACAGACGGACATAAATACACACAACCACACAGAGACAGACACACAGGCATCCAGAAGCACACACAAACACCCAGACACAGGTGAAGGAGGACAGTCTCAGGTGACAACTCAAGTTCAATGCTAAGATTCTTTGGATCAGAAGTTCTTCCAATCCTTTCAAAATATAATTAATCATGTGACTTCATTCCAGAATACATCATGCATAAAACACTGAAGTACATGCACATGTACGTGTTTGTTTCAATGACATAATATTTTAAAAAGTGAAATCCTTTGAACTTAGAAGTAGTGAGGTCGGTGTGGTATCAGTGATGAAGTCGGCTTCTCCACATGATCAGGAACACATGCTTCCGGCCGAACAGTTGACTGACTCGCGCGACTGCCATCCGGAGCACACTAGGAGCACGCCGCACCTTCCACTCGGCAAACCTGCAAGAAAGCACCACTCCCTGCTTTTAAAATGCACAGTGTTTCGGGGAATCCCCACCTGCCCCGTGTTCCTCGAAGGAGCAACCAACTTCATCACTGAAATCCTTTGAATGATTGTACATCTCACCTGAGAATTGAACCTGGTTGGATGTTCCCATTCCTGCGAACTGCACTTCCG